CTGCAAATGGCTAGTGCCCCCCTGCCTCATTTCCCATCTGTCCCTGTGTTGCCTGCTCAAATGCATTAGCTTTACACGACACATTCCCAGAGCCCAGAGGACCGAGCAGACCGGAGTGAAGCCAAGCCAGGCTGACTGGCTCTTTTAAATTAATTTCTTTTTAAACACTTGGTTTACACTCGGGGCAGTTTTGCTTAGACTACATGTCCTGTTTCATTTATGTATTGTGCACGTACATGACAATATGATTCTGCGATGGCAATCAGAAGAAAGTAGGAAGGACACGGATCAGCTGGCAGGACAATGTGAGCGGTTGGATGGAACTTTCTATGAGAGATGATGAAGATTCCAAAAGATGGGAATCCTGTCTCATGGACAACCCACAAGGATCAGTATGACGCTAGCATTGCCAGTCCAATGCCTTTCCGATTCATGGGGATTATTTCACCATACTTTGCCACGCTGGTCGGTGCGGGCTGATGAAGGTGGACAAGGTAGAAGTGGAAGCGTGTAAGTACAGTCCAACAATGAATGTAGCTGCACTGCCCTCTGCTGCCCATTCTCGAGCACCGCGGCCTTCAATAAACCGCTCTAAATCGTGGTGACTCGTTTGAGCATGTTCCAGCCTTTTACCTGCTTAGCTTACAGAGACCTGACGAGATCAGGGACATTGCAAGCAATGTGATGGTATACTTTTACTTTTTCAATGCTGAATTAATTCAATACTCAACGAATCAAGAGGTTTAATTAATGTCTTAATTAACTCTGTATAGCTTGGTACAAATTATGATAAAATGATTAAATAAATAAACAGTACTGTGGTGACTTTCAGTTTGAGTGTAAGGCTCTGTGTATTGTTTCCTACACCCCCTCTATTAAAAAAAAACCCTTTGGCTTTTCAGCAACAAAGATTAATGTGCGAGGATGAGGCGGGTTTCTTTTGCCCATTGGGGTTTTAATAATTGTCTGAGATAGAAAGTGGAGGGGGTGAAAGGTGCTTCATAGCAGTTTTTCCATGACGACGTCTTGACACAAGTCGACAGACGTACATTTCGCACTAATGCCAAAGACATGCATTCACATAACGGGCTGGTTTGATAATGTACCAGCTTCCATCACAAACACCTTTCTATTTATTTTTTTTCATTTTGAATGCCAGAAATACGTACGGGGATGCTGCCATCTGTTCTATTGCAGCATGGTAGTCACTGGTTATCCATATCATTTCAAAGTAAAGTATGACATCCACTGATTGCACAGTTGACAAGCAGAGTTAAAAATAACACGTTAATAAATTTTGTTTTAAAATAATCTTTAAAATGAATTCACGTGGCTTCTACTTTTGCACAAATTGGAATCTTCATGATTGACTCATTAGCATAAAACTCAGGGCATTATTTTGTGCGAGATTGTGTGTCTCGCTATCGTAAAGCGTGGACTCATTTTGTGTCAAATAAATGCTGAGGCATTTCAATTTCCATTTAAATCAAGAATGTTTGAAAACCTTATGCTATGTTTCAATTTTCACATTCAAGACATTGTTTATTATTTAAGCATACATTGCTCAGAAGCCTTTGTGTGTAATGAATGGGAAAACACTACATGTTGCTGTTCTCTACGTCATATGCGATACATTTAAAATGTGTGGTTGGGATTGCTTGCTTTTACGTTTTTGATGTGCATCTAGTGTTACTAGTTAATGGTAATACTAGTTGACAGTAATCGTGTTGATAAATACAAGTCACTAATGGTTGAGGATGTCACCCCTACCCACCCCCTTTGGGATTTGATGAATTGACAGATTCAGCTTTGCAATTTCAAGAATGGCAGTTCCTCTATTGGCTGCAGGGGCACCACGATTCCATTACGTACGATATAAGCAAGAAAAAATAGATTCTCACGTATGCACTTCAATACATGTACCATGATATTTACAATAAATATGAATACAACTATCCCTTATTTCAGATTACTAGTAGCTCCTGGTAGCAGGCGTCACCCACTGCTTATTGGCTTCAGTGTGACATGCCATAGGAGGCAAATTACTCGGTTCACTGGCAATGGGGATAAAACATTTTTACGTATTTAACATGAGACTGAAAGCGAAATATAGCTTAATGCTAACCTTGCCATATGAGTGAAACCAAAAAGTTGCTAGATTCTATTTTTTTGGCCTCAAAAATTATATTGGACTCATCTAGTTTTGAGCAAGGGCTATTTTCATTCGAAATTTCAGCTCTCTGGCCCTTCAATAATCACTTACTCGCTCACTCAGGCAGTCATTCATGGATGACTATATGTTCTAGATGGTAGATATGAAGAAAAACAACATCGGACACAAACCTAAAACAGGCGAGGCACTTTAATTTTCATTTTGATAACATTTTATCATCCTCAAAATGAATAAACGAATAAACAAAAATGCAGTCCCCAAACACCGTGCATCATTTCATCTGGTCAAGGAGATGCGATAACAAAAATCCAAAAAAACAGCTACTCCCTCAACGAGCTATTTTCTGGAAATTAATGGAGTATGAACAGTACATTTTTCTCATAGCAGATTTCCAGCCTTTCCCCAAGGATTCGTATGGCTTATCCGAGCGCCACGAGCCTGGGGCTAGAGTGAGATGCCGATTGTATTTCCTTGTGGGCAATATAAAGCCCGAGGAATCCCTCTGGAGTAAAATGATAGCCAGGAACCCAGTACGTTGTGAGCAGGTGCTTACAGCACCTCACAAGGCTCTGCTGCACGGTACGGGCAGCCTTAACCCTTGATTTGAACAAACACATTCCACTCCAAATCGGCAGATATGGTGAAACAAAGGCACTGCAAGGATGGACTTGTTTAATTTTGATGTAGTGAGTTTTTACGATGATATTACAACTGTGGACATTGTCTAGTGGACTTCGAAGAATAGTAAGGAACATGTGGTGGTAAAAGTGCAACCCTACAATTACTTGCCAATGCCACTGCTGGAAGAATGGCCTCCTTCTCTCGAGGGAGCTCTACATAGCCACTCTACAGGGATATTATTGGCCTATTCTTCCACGCTGGCCAACGAATGCTAAAGTCTAGTCGAAGCTGCTCACAAGTTTCAATAAATATAAAAAAAACTATAAATTTGGTGTAAATAAAATTGTTTTGCGTTAGATCGCGTAAATATATAAATGTGTCGTTAAAACCGCCACCACCCGACACAGCCGACTAGTAAGGATTGTCACAAACAGAACATGGCAATTCGTCACTAGTACAGCACACCGGTGTGTTGGAGAGCCAAGTCACAACATTTACAATCTGAGTACGACGTTTTGCCAGTAATTACAACTAGCTTCATCAGGTGACAGCCAGATTTGTGGAGAAGTCCACCTGATTCGTTCCTTGGTCGCGAGAGGCTACGTATTAAATTGGTGCAAAGGAGTTAATATCCCTAAAAAAACATCGGTTCGAATGTTTGTCCTGGCTATGGGATTGCAAAATGTATAGCCTACAATTCCTATTATGAATCTAAATAGGGTCTAAATATATTATTTGATGGGGGATGTTTTGGTTATGCTCTTCATTTTTGTTTTACTTTAGGATAACAATAATAATACTAATTAAAAAAATGCCAAAACGGACAATAAGCCTTTGCATGTGTCTTTGATGGCAAGGTTCATTAACCTTTGGTTGTGTAGAGACGAAGACACTCTCTTTTATAGGTGCTTCCCACCTTCGTTGCAGACATGCATTGCCACTGCACATTTGACACAAGCTGACGGCTAAAATGACGTGCCTCCGTTAGAAATTCCGCCGTATTTGATCCTTCCCCGATCTCGGGCAAAGGACTGCTGAAATTGGTGCAATAAAAGGCAGCGTCGTTTAATTGTACACTAATAGGAGGTAAGTGCACTAAAGGGTACCTTGGAGAAATGGCACAATTATGTCGATTAAACATGCTCCGGATGCTTTGCTTTCTCACAGCACGTGAAACGTTATATTTTATTTTTATTTGTCACATTCAATGGAACTGATATTTTACGTCGTCAATAATATATATTTATTCCAGCGTGGCGCCATAAGGCTGCTTGTCTCTGGTAATTACGTGCTTGGAAGGAGAAAACAAAGGCAGTTGTGGGAAACATATTGGCTGTAAACAATTTTGCAAATGCTCTGCCCTCACCTCGGCTTAGCATTAACCACTTTAATTGGTGCGATGTTAGTCTTGAGAATGGCCTGTCAAACAAAATGGTCAACAAACAAATTGCACATTTGTTTATAATATATTACATCTCACTGTGAGTAACAATGCTCCTATATATATATACACGCACACGTGTATATATGATAGCATTGGGCTGTATAAAAGATGTGGGTGATGATAAATTAATCTAGGCAGCAGTAAGATAAACAAAACATTTCCTTTTAAATCCATTTAATCATTTTTGGTTCGTGAGGAGCTGCTCTGGTCCTCCAGTTCTCTGGTTCCCATGCATGCCGGACAACAGCCCCGCTCCACATTCCCCCACGTCCCTTGTGACGCACACATGACTAATAGCGCTGCGGCGTCTTCTTGGAGCGGGAGAAACGAGTGAGGAAATGTGCGCGGTGGGGAGAGAAGCCGCTTCACCGTGGTTGCGCATTTTCTCTGCCGCCGAGCGGTGGAGCTGGCCGTGGTTGCATGACGCGCAGCTCTGATCACTATGGGAGCTGGCCGTGGTGCTGAATCGCGATGCTGATGACCAGGGGAGCTGGCCGTGGTGCTGAAGCGCGATGCTGATGACCAGGGGAGCTGGCCGTGGTGCTGAAGCGCGATGCTGATGACCAGGGGAGCTAGCCGTGGTTCCTGAATCGCGATGCTGATGACCAGGGGAGCTGGCCGTGGTGCTGAATCGCGATGCTGATGACCAGGGGAGCTGGCCGTGGTGCTGAATCGCGATGCTGACCGTGGAGCTGGGGCGCGGTGCCGTACGTTACGGAGTGCTGCCCCAGAGGCTTCTGGCTTTGTGCGCCGTTTTGTTTTTCTCCGCTAGTCCCGGCTGCTGCCCCCTCCCCGCCCCCCCCCCCCCTCTGTGCACCGCCTCCTTTCCCCGGACTGCCCAACCAGCGTCCCGCACCCGCCTGTGATTTTAATGAGGCTGTGTGATGAAGTGGAAATAATTTCTTGCAGCGGCAAATCCTCTTTCCTTCACTTCCCCCGTGCAGCGCTGCCCGTGTGGGCCTCTTTCTTGTTGCGTGGGCTGGTCTGGGAGGGGGAAGTTGAGTGTCGCTTACCACTACCCTGTAGTAGCGGGCAGGCGGTTTGTTCAGCTGCCCCATTCACGAGTGATTTTTAAAACCCCACGCGATCTCAGCGAACGGACGGAAGTCAAGTCGTTCGGTGAGAATCTGCATAGCCGAACCTGCATTCCTGGAATTGTCGTACTGCAAGGTAAACGTTTTCTCTGTTATGTACTAATCGTTGTTTTATTCAGGCATGTTATGTACCTTCTGGACACACATTGATTGCGTAAAATAGTATGGTTCATAGGGTATTACATATAATGTTTTTTTTCTTATCAAAAAGTATAATAACCTGGTTGTGAGGAGTTGGATACAATGTAACACGTGTTATAAATATTAGAGGATTTTTTTTGTATTTAATTAGAACAGCGTGGAGCGGTAGTTGAATGCAGTTTTTTTAATATATGAATGATATTTTTTTCCTTGAATACTGCCCTTTTTGTCTGTTTCAATAACATGTCATGGATGCAGATGTATGTAATTACAGAGACACATACATGATGTGTGCCTCAGAGAGAAGCAAAGCATGGATGGTGATGGTGACGATAATGACGATAATATTTCCACCAGTAAATCATTAATGTTGTCAATAAGTACGAATTAAACGAGAAAATTACGAAAGAACGCGATAAAACACAGAAGTAAACATCGTTAAAACCAAAAAAATATGTCAAGCAAGAGAAATATGTCTTTGCCTCAAAACCCAACTAGAATGCATAATTTATGCCTTAAGTGAAACAAGCAATCTGCAATGCAATAAATAATTGCATTGCCTCCAAGCCCATTGCTAATGAACCAATGTAGAAAACCACACAAGTTGCAGGAATGGTACAAGCCAACGGGATTGATGTTTCGTAACATTAAAGCATTAACCTAGATACTCTTGAGATGTTATCCTCTGAAAAAATAAGCCAGGGTTGTGGCCGCTGATAATTGTGCCAGTGCTTGAACATCTTGCCAAGCCACAGGCATCTTCATTGGCCCAGCCACTCTAATTAATTATGCACCCCCAGTAAAACTCCACAATAAAATATGAATGAAAAGCTTACATTTTATACTAATTCCGAATGAAGCGACAACCATTTTGCATTGACTAATAAGCATATTATTGGAGCAGTCTTAGGTTTTGCTTATTTGTTTTGTTGTTTATGTTGATCATTACTGCAGGGCTACCGCACATTATCTATTTGGCGGTGCTTTACTGGATTAATGAGAAGCGCTATAATGATGCCAAAGACCGGTTTAATGTCTGTTAAAGGAGCTGCTCCTTATCACCTGGTGTGAACTGATAACCTACAAGGGAAGAATCTCACTGACCAAAGCACTTTGTCTTAAATGCTGTGATATTGCCTTCAGAATGACAAGAATTTGCCTTGGGGATGAAACGAATCTACTTTACTGCCCCTGTGGTTCTGTGTGCAGTGTATGCGCTCGTAACCACCGAGGGGACATGTCAATTTGGATTATGCACATGATGGATGTAGTTGTGTAGGTATCCAATTTCTAAGCTCGGATATATATAAAAAAGAAACAAAGCATAATCAATGTTGGCTATTCTTTCCATACGTATAATATTTTGCCAATTATCTTTGATGTATGCTTCCAATTGTGAACAATGAGCACTTCATATTAATTTAAACGGTATGTCTGAAGCTCACAGATATATCCATGCATTTGTTTTTCTAACTAAAGGAATAAAAAAAACTTAATTTGTTTGAAATGTGAATAATTCTCGAAATTGGATCATTGAACAATGCTTTAGATCCTTACCTTGACTTGCTTTCTGGCTTCTCAGCGGAATATAAGGGGGCTTCTCTGTGAAGCGTCATCCTCTTGTCGGTTCATAATGATTTGCTCAGGAAACCGCAATGTGCAAATGTGCTTACTGGCTGGCAGTCCCTTCAGTGCCCTCCTGTGTGCTGTCAGTGCATCCGTTCAATTGCAGCTCATGGATGAAGGTAAACACACTAATTGCCAGTTCCCCCTCTGTTAGAACACAGCAAATATTGTGGCATTGATCTTTTTTTTTACAAAAACCGCCACCGGTATTCACTACTGTATTCTCCCACGGGGAGTCTGAACTGGGCAGCGGACGTATCATGAATTCGCTGGCTTCCCGTGCTGACACAGGAACCTGGTATAATTCACGGTACCCCTTTTATGTTCTTCCGATGGTCTGGACAGCGGCATGGATACGAGGCTTTTCTTCCCGTACATTCGCTCGTGTGCTTGTGTTTTCCCGTGCTTGAAATTTGGCATAAGCCAAGATTTATTTTTAAAGCTTTACACGGTGCATTATTAATTTGCAAACGGCACCAGCCTATGCAGCGTTGACATAATTTATACCACTGGGAATGCTATCTCTGCTGCATACTGAAAGAACTGACCTGTGCATTTGTGGCGTCTCTAAGCAGAACATTTCCCAAATATTAACATTTAAACCCCATTAACTTGATTATTCAAGGGTGATGCAGGGATATCCTCAATATATGAGGTTGCTCGTATATATTGGGGTGTTTCCGTGCCTGTATGCCCTTGGCATGCCAACTCTGAACTTAAGTAAATCTATAATATGACTGCTCTCTTGCACTTTGTCTGGAGGCAATTCAACATTTCAGGTGCGATATTTTTATACGACTATTATTAAGATTGATTAATATTCGTCAAGAAAATGTTAACATCGGTCATTATCTTCATCTAAGCAATCTGCAGTAAAGCACTGTGCGCTGCCTTTCATGGGATTTAAAAGGGACAAAGATGGATTTCCCTTCATATATTTTCAGCTGTAGAGGATTTCACTGTCTGCCTCTTAGGGATTGTCGAGGCATAAGGGCCACTAGCATCCAGAGGACAGTGGGTGAAGGACATTCTGCCATCCATTGTACGTCGCCATAATAATTTACCCATCTCTTTTTTTTACCAGGAAAAGCCCACTGAGCTACGTTGCTCTTTTTCAGAAGCGACTTGGTTACAATTGATAGCTCAACGACGTTGCTTAGCTTGTGGACATTTATTTCAGCCAAATACTCTAAACGCGTGTTTCTAAAATTTTGATGGAAAAACCGCATGACCCGGGCAAAAATCCACGCGACCACGGTGAGGACATGCACACTCCAAATATATAATCGTCAGGGTCAAGATCGAACATACGACCTCATGTTTACCAGACGAGGTAGTTAACATCTCGTCATTGTGGTGTCCCACGTACAGCACCAGCCTTTTGCTGGTGGCACGCAGGGCTGGCTGGGGTGGGAAGAGGGCTTTCCACAAAACAGGGCCCCACAAGGGCCTGTGTTGTTGTTGTTGCTAAAGGGGTCCAAGTGACATTCTGCCTTGGGCTTCAAGGTACCTCCGGTTGGCCACCAATTAATGTGTTTAACATTGAGCTAAGAAGCTCTTTTGCAATGGCGACTCTTCACAGTGATGCAGAGCAGCCAAGCCAGATGTGGCCAGCGGGGACAAGGATAATGGCAGATGTTTACAGTCCCCATAATAGACGGTTAGATTATCCACGACCTAGTGTATGCAGACCTAGGTAACCTGGTGTACGCAGACCTGGAAAATCTGGGTTAGATGATTTCACACGCGCAGCTAAATCCCAGGGCTGGCTCTACAGCACTGCAATTGCACACGTAAAGTCGCGAGTGTTCCTGTTTAACGTGTTTATCAATGTGTTTGTGAATTTAATTATTAAAATGCCTTTATTTGTTTGCTTATTTATTTTAACTCGGCCTGGCTGTAACTTTTAATGAGCCTTTACAACCTAATGCAAAATTGAATTTTTAATAATCGTACATGCTCCCCTTAAATTAAGATGAGATTTTTCGCTGATGAATTTCACAGCCGCTCATTTATATGCATTCAGCCAATCTTCGATCGCGGTGTCTGCAGGCAATCAACTATTGATTTTAATTACCAAGGCAGTCTGTGTGCCTAATGAACTTTTGTTTCACTCCAGAGGCCAGCCATGGATGTACCCATGCATTTTTTGAAATGCTATATTATTATTAATAATTCACAGCCCCTTTGTCAATATACTATTGGATGAAGACTTCCCCATGCATTGTTGTTTGCGGGGAGGGGAACAGGAAAGAGGTGGTGGTTCTTCAACTATACTTCACCATGCTGGTCAGTGCAGATTCATTGAAGGAGGAAAACCCAGGACCAGGTCAAATATCACTCTTCACTGATGTTAGCCGTGGCCCGTAATCATTAAGCTAATCACTGCCACCGCTGTCTCCCCGAATATATATCGTGCGTTGGTAGCAGGGGGTGCCCAAGACTGGTTGTTCAGAAATATTAGAATGCTGTGCAAGTCTATGATATCACCTCACTATCCCACCAGCACATTTTGTCCAATGCAGTGAGACAGGGGCATAGGGCACACCTTTGATGGTCGTCATCAAAATCAAAAATGCTGTCAGCCGCATTAGAGTTTAAAAAAAACACACTACTGACAGGTTTTAGAGCAGCTCAAAGGAAACGCCGTGCCCCGTGTTGAAGAGCCCATTCTCTGCTGTTCCCTCATGGTGCTGCATGGTTAATTTTATTCTGAGCATCTGACAATGGGAGGCAAGAGGTGGTACAGTGGTTAGCACACTGCTCTGTAGACTCTGGCAAAGCCAGAGTGTGATTCCTGTCTGCGGCTAACATCAGTGGAGAGTGATATATGAACTGGTTCTGGTCAACCTTTTACGTTTGCTCAGAATCAGAATATATATTTAGTCCTGAGAAATCCCATAAGCTTTGACTGGCACTGGATAACGTGGTGGAGCATGGTAAATTATAGTCTGTGATTAATACAGTATGGGGCTTCATCCAGCAGTGGATTGACGAAGGGCCATGAATCTACCTAAATGAATCACAGACACGCACACATGCTTACAGATGCGGATTCTCTCTATATAATAGTTCACAAGACAGCTCTAAATTGTGAGGAATGTTAATGCGGGCAACAACATTTTATACAGATTTTGATCTACAATATCAATTACATATTCGAGGTCTTAATGAAATTGTAAGCAATTTTTGTGAATTTTTTTCTACCAAAAAAGCGCAGTGCTTAGGCAAATGTGTATTACGAACACATGGGTTAGTTTATACCTAAATATATCATGTCAAGGTATTAATTTTGAGGATTTCACAAGCATAGACAGCAGGCTAATTCTACAATACTTTCCCACCTCCTGTGTTTGTATTCCAGGCTTAAGATGTGATATTTAAACACTGTGGCATCTTTTTTATGCCTCTCTTACACAAGATAACGCTCCGGTATAATTAGCGAATATACACGTGGTGTTTTAATATGTGCGACGAACGTTAATTAGGCAGCTTAGACATCACAATCAGCTGCATAATTGCATGTACAGCACGTGTGGAATGCATTAAGTATGTATTTATAGAAAGGCTGATGGCATCTTTACGGATGACGCATTAACGGTGTGAAGATTTTTTTTCTCAAACTGGCAATGTCCCATCTGCAATTGCCCTGCTGTTATTTTCAGTTACGTAAGGCTGTTGAGTAAAGTGTGTGTAAGCACACCTCTCCCCGCCTAGCACTAACGCAGAAAAGAAATGTTTTATAAAGCTGTAGCCGTAATGACCTTTACTGTCAAATTACATTCCACTAACACCGTGTCACTGTTGGCATATAGAAGCAGGTAAATTGAATTCTACACAGGACTCAGCCGATCGTAACCCGCTCCTGACAGCCCTGACACGAGGCTCATCTAGCTCAGCGCTCGCTAATGCATTTGCGTTGTTACAGGGACCACGCTGGAAATGCATTTCACACTCATACTACGAGCACCACACTCCCGCCGTATCGCTCTTCCAGATCGATACAATGTACGCGCAGCAATGCCGAGCGCAATGCTGCTGGTGCTGCTCCGCAAATGGGATTGCTTCCTCCGAACTGCTGATCACTTAGAGTGTCTGCCGCTACAAATGTGTTGTCACGGCAAAATTATTACAGTGTTTACTCTGATGTTTTTGTCCTTTCCTTGAAAATGTTTCAATATAATTTCCACACAACTGAAATTAATAGGCTAATTAATTTGATTTTTTTTTTACTTTTCGGGCAAACCTGCCAGGCAGAATTTTTATTCGAAAAAAGCGCTCCGACGGTTGCCTGTGCGCGCGTGTCTCTCCGTGTGTGCGCGTGTCTGTGAGTGCGTATGGGGAGCGTCTGTGCTTCAGTTAGCACGTTGCGCTACAAATCCGGCCACCCGAGTTTGATTCCCTCTCACGGCCACCAACACCAGTGACGACTATTTGAACCAGTTCTGCGCCTTCCCTAGGACGACTCAGCCTCAAATGAGTACCTGGTGCGATGTGTGAACATCACCACTCGGAAGACAAAGGCGCGGTGCTGACAACCCGCATCGTGGTGGGCTGTGACGGCCTTCATCGGTGCTCGCTAACAACTGTCGGTTAAGGCTATATGAGGGTATTTTTGCGTGTGTGTGTGTGTGCGCGCGTGTGCGTGACATCAGGACGACAGTGCAGTTGGCAGCCATTGACACCAATCAGCCAAATTACCCGAAACGTTAACCATCTCCGCGTCCCATCTGCTTCAGAATCTCATGGAATCCCAGTCATTAAAATGCAGGTCCTTAAATAAAATGGGTTCTGTTTAGCCGTGCGTGGAAACCAAGAGCACACGAGAGTAAACACTGCTATTTGGAGGATTTTGCTATAAGCTGCTTTGTTTACGCATAAAAAAAACCTGTTGAAAATCGCTTGGAAATGTTATTTGAAAATTATGGACGATCTTCACCGTGACCTCAAATGTGTGATGTAGGAGCAATTGTACCTTTTTTTCATTCTGCCACTGGAGATTGACGCTTCAGCCTCTGTGGAGGGGAGAAGAGAAAAACTCTGGTGAGTTTGTGCAGAGGATAATGATCCATCGTCACAATGATTTCATGATTTTCTTTGTCCTTTTCTTTAAATACTCTCTCACCCGATGAAAATGCAGCAAAACTTCTTGATACCGTTCCCACTTTGTGAATATCCCCAAATCTGACATATCCTTTTTGTTATTTCCCCGATATATTACATTACAGTTCACACTCTCTGAATTAACATTTTGCACATCTAACATTAAATCTGGCTGATCCACCCAACAATATTATATCGAGGTCGCTCTGTACACTGACAGATCATTTGAATGTGGTAAAAAATGAAAGTCGAGGTGCAACCTTGCCAATTGCTTGCTCACGCCACTGTTAGTGGAAGGGTCTGCACTGGAGTTAGCTCTAGAGAATCCCTCTAGAAGGTATTTGGTCTACTCTTCCATGCTGGCCAGATGTAAGAGATGTGAGTACTCACACTTTCCCACAACCCGCTGATCGACTAACTATGGTGGTACCCATTTATACCGCTAGTGGCCGGAGTCACATTGGATTGAATAAACTTCCACCATTGTGTCAACAACCACGCTGGGTAATTGAATAGAACCACTGACCTGTGGATTGCAAATCCAGTGCACTAAACATTGCACCACGCCAATACCCTTGAATGAGTTAACAAAACAAATCGGGGGCATTGTGGGAAGCCGAAGACACCTTGAAGGCCCTTGCTAAGTTTACGCCTCTCCCTGAACAGTTCCCATCAAGAGGCACTGCTTGGCCCTTGGCAGTTGTGTGAGGAAGTTCAATTTACAATGCGTCAGGGGCTCCGCCACCTGCTCAGGTGGCATTTATTGCCTCGTCTCAGGCCAAGGGCTGGATCATTAACCCTTTACTTGGTGCATTTGCCCATAGGGTGTTCGCTGAGTGGCTGTCCCCATCACGCAGCACTGGATTAACAGAGGAGCTTTAGGGGCTGCAGCCTCAAGGCCTTGGATTACGAGGGCCCCACAGATACATATATATGCTACTTTATATTGGTTGAAATGCAGTGCGCTGTAGTTCTATGATGAACCCTGTAGACAATTTGTTTTGGTAATGAAATACATGGCAAAACGATGTGTATTATGAACAGTTACGTGCCACATTACAATAAAAAAGTGTCAGCTTTGATTTAGCTTTACAATTCAACGTCACGTTAAAAAACACTAGAACTGAAATAATGAAGTGGGAATAGCAACAGGGCTTTTAAGTCTCATGCAGTCAAGGAAAATAATTTAATGAACAATGAGGGCCCTCCAAAACTATAACAGCCTCGGGCCCCTATCAAACGTCATCTGGCCCTGTTTGTGCCTTGTCCCATATGTCAGTCTCTCCTTTCCGTGAAACTGGGTTGACTATAGCAGCACGTAAAATTTTATAGAGCACGTGGAGATTCCACGGACCCCATCCTGAGTGCCATAGAACAACTCCCAATATCATCTACGGCTTTTCTCGACCACATGGGATACACGTATAAGGGAAAGGAGGTAGACCTACGAAGAAAACGGGACCCCATTTCGGAATAACCCATTTAAACCCCCCTGACATTTGGGATCGTTGTTCCCAGTGCCACTAAGACACACACATTGTTAACTGCGTGAGATCCTCTCCCAAGTCAATGTGTGCAGTTCTGTACTCTTCCATACATTAACCACTATGCCCCCCCATCCACCCTTCCACCCCCACTTTATGTTCCCCCACCCCTCTTGTGTTTATTAAAATATTATCACGGGCAGCCATGTAAAGTACCAACAATGAGCTCTGTAAATAAGGACGCGTATGACCTGTGACGCTGGGCAGTGTATGTATTGTTGGAGTTTACCATACATCATGAACGGAAATAAGAAAAAAAAGTATCAACAAAAATGAATTTAACGACTGAGTTTCCTAAAATACTCGAGTATGTAATTGGAGTCGCAGAGGGACAACTCAGAATTGTACCCATTGAAGCACGATCCGTAACGATTGCCCGAGCATAGATAATGTAGTAAACGCATTGCGGTGGACATAGTGTGAAGACAAGGGTCCCATGGGCAACACATGCCTAGAGATCTCACTCGTGGGGGGGGGGGAGGTGGAGGGTGGGGGAAAACACACACACACACAAAACAGATAACACTAAAGAAAAAAATGTATTTAATTATTTCTAATCCAAGTTATGACGGATGCTGCTGTTGTGTCATGGTCAGCACACCGGACCTTGCAATCCAGACGTCCGTGGTTCTGTTCCATCTTCCAGGGTGGCAGTTGAAACAATTGGGGCAATTTTCTTAAATCCTCTCCCGCCGCCCCCACCCCTCCCTGCTTCCCCACCACTGCCCCTGTTCACTCAGCAGTATAAATAGGCGCACCCACAGGGAGTCGATCCGCGGGTCATACGAGGTGGCTTAAAGCGTGGGCGCACTCTCCATCGCCTTTCAGGACATCTGACCAGAGTGGAAGAAGTCGGACTAATAACGGCCAATGGGCTCTTGAGAAGCCATTCTTCCGGCAGAGGCACGAAGGAGCAATTTTAAGGCCGCGCCTCTATTTTTACCACCTAAATAGCAGTCACGGCAACGACTCAAAAATCCTTCGTTCCTGATTTGAAGCTTTCGTGACTGCAGGAATTCATACTCTTTGGTTCTTTCGGTAAAGACATGTAGATATTTAAAAAAGTAACTAATAAATCACGACGTTTCGATAGCAACACAAGCCATCGTCTTCAGGTGAAACAATACAGCAGGCGGACCGCTGAGGAGTAAATGTAGCGAGAGAGCCACTGCAACCAAAGGTTTTAAACGTTTGTTGTTGGTACAACCCAAGGGTAAGTGGGCGGGGCTAGGGATGGAATTTGCAAGTCAATGTAATCTAAGAGAGGGTGGTGGGTGGGTGACCTCGGCTAATCCGAGGAGGGGGGAGGGGGGGGCTGCCGCAACTGGCGATAGGGTTGGGGTGAAATTTACAGAGGGAAAAGGTGATTTTGACTTCACCGAATGAACCAAAGAGTATGAATGCCTGCAGTCACGAAAGCTTCAAATCAAGATTGAACCGCGTCTACGGGGAGGATTCCCACACAACTCAGACATGACTTTAACCGAGAAGATGGATGAAAAATTTAGCAATCTTTGGAAGGACGTTGACCAACCAGGTAAAGTGTTAACTGTTGTGTTGCATTACATTTCTGTGTAAATTTCACCCCCACCCTCTCGCCCGTTGCGGCAGCCCCCCCCCCTCCCCCTCCTCGGATTAGCCGAAGTCACCCACCCACCACCCTCTCTTAGATTACATTGACTTGCAAATTCCATCCATAGCCCCGCCCACTTACCCTTGGGTTGTACCCACCACACACGTTTATAACCTTTGGTTGCAGTGGCTCTCTCGCTACATTTACTCCTCAGCAGTCCGCCTGCTGTATTGTTTCACCTGAAGACGATGGCTTGTGTTGCTATCGAAACGTCGTGATTTTTTAGTTATTTTTTATCAGAGTGTGTTTTTTTTTGTTAGCATTCTGACCACAAGTATTGTGGTTAATGCAGACATGATTCCTTGTAAAAGGTTTTAGTTTGGTGTTTTAACATCTTAACACCTGTTTTGTTGCCAGAAAAAAGGGGAAAACCTATTCTCATATTTTGGTGCTTGCAAAAAAGGTCCCATGATATTCATTTGAATACCCATGTATTATATTTGTCCTAAACGTTATCTCGACGCAGTTGGTAAACAACATTATTTTACGATAACTGAATTCCCTTTACTGTTTGCCGTGGCCAAAATCAGGTTGTGAATAGTCAAGGGAGCCGCTTGCTGGAATGTGACCTACTTATGCAATACTCCATAAGTAAGATACACAGCAAGAGAGTAAATTCGATGTCCGCAAAATATAGGCACATGCCATGGCTCCAGCTCAAGATTAGTAATCACACGTTACACAGGCCGGTTATCAATCAATAAATCGATGATGTAATTTATGTATTAATGGAGCAACACATTTCATAATGTACTAATTGCAATATTAATTGATGAATGTGAGACGAATTGAAAAGCATGTTTAATGAAATGAAACAAATTTAACAACAAAACCTGGAGAGTGCCCACAAAATAAAAGCGTGCAGAGATGCGTGTTTCGAATTACATTTAGAGACAGAAAGTGAATCACCTGGTTGAGAGAACATGCGCAGGTTGAGGACATCATTCAAGCTGTTATGAGAAGCGAGTGGGCTCGGGCAGGACACGTCGTGGCTCGAAGGGATGATGGCCACTGGTCATGAATAACAATGGCTTGGCAGTCGAGGAATAAAACGCATTCCAGTGAAAGTCCACGGAGATGATTGAGCGATGATGTGGGTTGTTACATTGCGATATCGTAAGAGATGGTGATCACTCGAGGAGGCACATGTCCAGCAGTGGATTTATGATGACTACTGTTGATGACGAATGTTTAATGCACCAGCAAAAGCACCGATTTGTGCACTAAACAATAATATTATTCAGGAATAAACATCAGTATTAATAATAATACTATTGGTAATTTAAAACCTGTTCTCCTAAGAGGCTATGTACATTTCTTCAGAGCTCACTGACTGGATGACTTGAAGATACAGATGGACCATGGTAGGTTAGGCCCTTTAGCTAATGTACAAGAGTAGGTAACGTGGAGGGGGCCCTTGTCTGTCGGTCATCATCTGGGGCAAAGACCTGGGCCAATGACTTACAGGCAGTGAGGGGAGACCAAGGGATACGACAGAGGGGAGAGGGAGAGCAGGAGGGTAGTTGTGAGGGCGGAGTTGCTGGAGCGCGTGTTACCTGCTGTATGACCAGTTGCGTTACCTGTGTGTTATCAATACAGATACCTTTGTTGAACACTGCGTGAGCTAAGTCCTTTCACAAGGAAAGTGCATCCCTGCAATGTCTTGCTCGTGCCACTGCTGGCAGAAGGGCCTGCACGAGTAGGAGCTCTACAGAGCCCCTCTCAGAGATATTGTGGCCTACCCTGCTGCGCTTGCTAGACATCGTCGGAAGAGCTGGAAGTGTCCACATTGTACGTCACCACGTGACCTGCGTATTGATTACTCGTGTGCGTACCCATTTATACTGCTGGGTGGATAGACGCAGTGGGGGGTTACGGAGGGGTGTTTAAGAAACGTGCTCCATTGTTTAAACTTCTGTGCCAGGGAATCCAGCATGTCTCGTGCACAGATATCTATTTTCATATTATTGTCTTTGTTTTGTTGTGCCACCGCTCATGTCTGCTGCATCGAGGCACGCCCAGGCATCGTGAGTATCCGAGTCGTATTGCTAAACATTCAAGCTTGGATTCTGCACCTATACGAATGCGGCTGTATGGTGTTGTAAAAATTGTACAGTTTATGAATGCATTCACATAGTTGTTACTTTGTAGGAATGTTATTATTGTAATTGTTGTTGTGATAATTTGTATCCTGATATGTATGCATGAGGACCCACAAAGATAGCTAGTGAACAGCCCGCCCAGCCTTTGAAACACAAATCAGGGCAGCCTTGAAGCCTAAACTGTATTGTATATATTTGCAAACTTTTCTACGCCATGGTAAATGCTGCTTTGCTGGAGTTTCAAAAACTAATTAACATGTAAACAACAAAAAAAAATAAACAAGCTTGTTTTAATAATCATCAATTTAGACATATAATGAGAATTGCAGCCAATATATTTCCTTTAGTAAAATTAACTTAAAAGATCTCATCAATTATTTCAAAAGTTACCACATTTTTAGATGTAATTTCTCGTGCAATGTCTCATTGCAATACATTTATCATAATCATCATAAACAGCAAAATACATATATATCTGCTGTATATAAATGTATCGCATGCCACTTTGAAGCAAGTGCATGTAAATACAACACAAACATGCATGTTCCCTTTGCTCATGATGATTTTTTGAGGTCTGACGTGGCTGGCTGGTTTGGTGGCTGAAAATACCCTGCCTCTCCAACTGCAGCCTTTGCACCCAGTCCCAGCCTTTGTACGCACGATCAGAACCTCCCCCAGATTTTCAGTGAGGCCTGCATCGCATTAATAGAGGCTGCCGTCGGGCGCGGAGCTTGGCTCTGGTGGGTGGATGAAAGAGTGGTCAGCACTCCAAGATGCTGAAGTGGGAATCGCAATACAGTGCTCTACACATTTTTTTTTAAATTAACAAAAAGGTTTTTGAGTTCGCCCCCCTTCTCCAATCTTTCGAAATGCACGACGTTTGATCAACTCAACTGGTGTTTGCCGTGTACAATGACACGTTGTAATCGAATCATGAACTGGCCAGGTGGCTCAGGAGTTTTCATTTAGACACTAAAACAGGGGCCTGACTGAACGTTCCTATATCGTGGAGCACATATGCAAGGGTGATTCCTCGTGGCATTGAATTCGGCTCTTTTGCCAGCCAAGTGGCTCAGCGCTCCAGTGAGCAGCTTGACATTGGAAGATTGCAAATTCAACTTTTGTTTATGGTGACTCAGCGCTGGGGTTGATAGAATGAGTAACATATTGTGTAGAAGTCAAGTGGTTGTCCTATGGATAGACGCACCCCCTGCCATAGGAATCTGGACATGCCAGCACTTGCTGAAGGCTGTAAATAGGCGATGCTTACTGCACAAATGCCCATTTGAGAAGGAAACTACTTTGACTTTTTTTTTACTTTGTGCTGCGACCCTACACAAAATGTAATCACAATAGGTGTCGAGTGCAAATCACGTGGCAAAAGGTCAATTCAGCCCCATAATTCCTTATTGGCTCAATAAAATGAGCATCGCATTGTTTGAAGTCGACAGTGGTTTTCAATAGATAGGGTGGTCTGCGCCACAAACATGTGGCATTTCAAGCTCAGGGCCAAGGATGGAAAATGGGCAATATCCCAGTGCTTGGTTAAGCACGTGTGCAGGACCGGATTAATTCAAAGCCTTGAGGAGCTGCAGCCCCGGGCCTTGGAATTCTGCTTTGTAATAGTTGAAACGCAATCATTTATTGTAGCACGATGATAAATCCGAAAGTGTAATTTGATAATTAAAGGCCTAGCATCACAATGTTATATTACTACCAGTAATGTGCCGCACGGACCACGTGTCTTCCTCTTAACCTTGATTTATATTTATAATTAATGTATTTCATTAAAAAAAAACTGTAACTGAACAGCAATAGGATGTTTGGCATTGGACATGCGTGGTGGTATAACAGTAAAAGGGAAGTAATTTCATATATGAGTCCCCCTCTAAAACTATAATAACAGCCCCAGGCTCCGATCAAACTTCATCCGGTCCTGCCTTTGAGCCCGTTACACACGAGGTATACGAATTAAATATGAATAGAAAACAACAGATTCTTAACACGCGTGACGTGATGCGTGCATAACGAGCAAAGGAATTGATTTTAATCGACGAATCGATCTATCGTTACATGCTCACTGTGGATCGATCACAGGACCTGCTCAGCGTGTCCGATCGTTGTGCGGCCATCCAAACGACGAGACGCCGCCTAAAGTAATCACGGTTCTGAGGCCCCCCATAAAGGTTAATCCCGGCCCCGGACGTAAACGCTGTCAATCATAGCACTGACGGCGGAATGGCCTGCATTAGAGCAAAGGTACTTGGTCGGCTCTTCCACGTTGATTGGACGTGTGATGGAAGAGGTGGGCGTGCCCACACGTTACCGCACCGCGGACGGCCTGGCGATCAACTAACGTTGGCGTGCGAGGGCTTCGAGGAACCTGTGACATTGTTTCAACTGACCGTGGCGCGCATCGCCTCCGGCTGCGTACTGGCTGCGTTCGTGCGCTGGAGCAGCAGGCTCTCACGTGGCTCTCAGGCTACGTGGGCTGACGTAGAGCTCGCAAATAACTCTGACGAGCGTATTCGTTCGAAGCTTTCGTGACAGCAGGAATTACTCTTGGGTTCTTTCGGTAAAGTCACGTAGAAAATAAAGTCAAATACTAACGGAATGCGACGATTCGATTGTTGTGTTGCGTTGTGTTTCTAAGTTTACGATGTTTTTTTCTTTCTCATTCATTCTTACCCTGATGACGGTTGCTTGTGTCGCAATGGAAACGTCGTATTCTATTATGATTTGATTTTATTTTCTACGTGACTTTACCGAAAGGATCAAAGAGTGGAGCATATTTACGTATGTATTCTTCCGTGCGTATCTGGCGCGGTCTGACTGCATGGCAGTCACCCGCAAAAGCATTCGCCACGTGAATTCGTTTCAACTGCCACGCCGGATGATGGGATCGAACCGGCGAAACCGCCGGCGGCGATGCTTTGGCTCGTTCCAGAGACTGCCCAACGTTCCACGCGCACCCTCGCACGAAGGATGTTGGCGATTGCGGGCCCCATTGTGCATCGTCTGTGGTGGTGGCGGTGGTGGTGGCACCGGCGGAGGGCGGTCATTATCATCTGCAAAATCATGGTAGCGTCAATAATATATATAGATATTTTTTGGAGCGTGTGTTAATGAGTCTTGAGACAGAGCCACGAGTGCGGCTCAAGTGTTTTTTTGCGTGAAAATAATTCCTTTCTCGGTTTCCAAGCATCCCCTAAGCTTGTTGGCACTCGGTCTTCATATGTAACGTCGCTCGCGCCAACAATTTTGGTGTTCTTGTTTGAGACCTCATTAACAACAAAGTTTTATCTTCACGCTGATAAATGATGTGCAAAGTATGTCGCATAATCAAATGTGAAAATAACCGCACGTGCTCCAATATGTCACCGGCTTTGAAACGACAGCATGCTGGGAATTAAGTCGTTTCATTGTCATAATCAGCTGCAGCGTCAGCGTTAAATTTTGTTGCTGTTATAAGACATTGTCTGCCCACTGCTAGATGAATACTTCCCCATGCCGCCATCATCTCTCACGGACCGGCGACACCACAATCCAATACATTCCTGCTCATGAGCCGATCTCATCACTCCATCTCTGCGGTAGTCATCCTCTGGGGCAACTTCTCTCATTCGGCTACTATTCCATCACTGGGTCTCATCCATTGGTCATCATCCCTTGTCGTGATGTGTCCACATCAAGCACAAATCCTTTTCTGAACAGTCGTCGGGCTTTCACCACCATTGTTATGATTCATAAACGGTTTATTTTTGGAGCTTGGATCGTGTATAGATGTGTGTCGTCAACCCTCCTCCACCCGACATAGCAAATTAATAAATGTGTTACGTGAATTAAACGTGAAAATGTATTTGCTGCTTCAACAGTACCACCGGTGCTGGTGTTGGGGCGTAATCTCCAACATTGAAATGGGTAACGACGTTTCGCTGGACATTACATCTCTGAGCTCACATCTCGAGCTCTTGAGCTCCTGTTAACAACAAAAGTGTCAACGTGACACTTTTTTTGCTGATTGGCCGTGTCGGGTGGTGGAGGGTTACGACACATTTATAAATAAACGCGATCTAACCCAAAAACCTTTATTATGAATAATATTGGTCGCGAAAGCCTACGTGTTAAACCTGAGGATGCTGGATGTAATCTCCAGTGAAACGTCACACTCTTTTAAACGTTGCGATATTTTACTCTCCAACATCAGCGCCGGTAGTGCTGAGCAGAAATACATTTGGCACGCTTGACGCACACGACACTTTTATTAATTGGTTGCGTCGAATGGAGGAGGGTATGCAACACACATTTTTAGACGACCTAATCCAAAATAAACCAATCATGAATCGGTCAATCTCGACGTCTCTGCTTTGTGTTTGTTTCCCAATCCATGACCTCCGTTTTCCTGCCTCTCATTGAAATTCCCAGGATGCATCTCAGCATGCCTAAACTACACGTTCAAGGAAAGAACTGAAAATTAATATCAAAAGATGTATTATCATCGTGATGAATATTATCGAGCAAAACTCAGCGTAGCACTTAATACAGAGCTGTAATTAGCATATCAGGCACGACAACAGCGTCCTTCTAAACCCTCCTGTAGCGAACCACAGATGCAAGGATCACTCCTTATTGCATTTAATTTGGCTCTTCAGCCAGCGAGGATGGCTCGTTGATAGAGTAAGTGGATCGCAGTCAGAAGGTTGGAAGTTCAAATCCTGGCTGGGGGATGGTTCAGCCCACCATCTGAGGACAATGAAATAAGTACAACTATGCTGGGAATTTCAATAATGGTCCGATTTTATATACTCGCCCGTGTTATCGGAACGTGGAATTTCCATCACCAGCACAGGGCTATAAAGAGGATATGAGCACAGCCTCAATGCTCATTTGAGGAGGAGACCACTTTGACGTTTTTTCAACTGAAG